GCCCCTACCAGCTCGGCGGCGAGCCCGGCCGGCCGTCCCGGACCGAAAAGGGAGCAGACACTGGGAAGTTTTGGGGGAGGGAGGGGCGGGCCTTAAAGGGACCACGACCTCTTTTCAGCCCGGAAAAAGTGTGTGTGTGGTTGGCGGGGCGGGGTAGGGGACGACCGAGAATCGTGGCACCATGAAGGCGGAAACAGGAGGTGCCCCCTTCCCCCCCAAAACCCACCCTCTCCCCAGCTTGCCGCTAAAAAACCAAGTTCTCTACTGGTTTAGGATTCAAGGCTTCCTTCATCCCTCCGAGGCGTTCTGCTGGCTGGATAAAAAGTTGGGGTGTACAGGGTACAGATGCAAAACACGGGGGCTTCGACGACTCTCCCAGCTTGCGAATGGCAGAGTAGCCCCACAAAGGTTACCTCTGCTTCTGCTTCGTGACGCCTCTCTTGGCTGAGGAAGCATCAATTGAGGGTGGAGGCCAGGGGCCAGGCTGCCTGAAAACAAGGAGGCTGCACTCATTAGCCCTGTCGCCCCAAACCAAACTCACAGCCATGAGTGGATGCCGACTCATACCGACCCTACAGGGAAAGTTCTTTGCATACACAGCCTTCTGTGGAAAAATACCTAGAATTCTTCCTAACAGCCTCCCTCCCTCTGCAGCTTCCTCCCCGGGGTGATACAGGAAGTCACTTGCTTTCTGAGAAAGAACAGATAGGGGGTTTTCTAACACCAGAGATGGTTCATCAGGATCCTGGGGTGCAGGGTGGGGTAGGAGGAGGCTGCGTGTGGAGTTTATCTACCCAGAAAGTCTGTGGCAAAAAATTGTCAACTTGTATCTTGTACCCTAGCCCTCCTGTATCAATTTTTCTCTCCTCAGGCTTTGGAGCTCTTGGGTCTTTGACCAGTGTTTCGCAGCTTGAGAGGCTACAAGCCCATTCATAAAGTCTCTGGGAGCAGACTTGTGAGGGAGTGCTGACCCCGAGTCCTGCCGCAAACACTTCTGTCCCCTCAGGCCCTGGGGCTGGATGGACCTCAAGAGAATACCCCGTGCAGGTAACAGTTTTGTCTTTCTGCATCTGTTTCCTCATCCAAGAGGGAGATGGCCGGGACCTTGCCTCGAGGTGGTGAGAAGTGCTCAGAATGTTGGGAAGAACCTCGAAAGGCCTGCCCAGGTTTAACAGAAAACCTAAGCCCGAAGTGGGCATCAAAAACAAAAAAACAAACCAAGCTCGATGCCATGGAATCAATTCCACCTTCTAGTGACCCTATGGGACAGGGTGGAACAACCCCTGGGGGTCTCTAAGACTGTTACTCTTCTTTTTTTTTTTAATTATTTTATCGGGGGGACTGTTACTCTTTACGAGAGTAGGAAGCCACATCTTTCTCCTGAAGACATGCTGATGATTTTGAACTGTTGACCTGCGGTTAACAGCCCTACATGACTAAGATGACCAGATTTTAACATTGGTAAAATGGGACAAAAGCGGGACACCATTGATAAAACGCATATCCCGGCGAAATAACCACATGGCAGCCGAAAACCATATACCCTAGCTTGTCATGCATTCTTTCCAAAAATCAGGACTTTTTAAAAACGCCACGGGATGCGGGGGAAATTGTTAAAAATCGGGACTGTCCCACCAAAAGCGGGACGTCTGGTCACCTTATACATGACCCCTCCACCACCAGGGGTCCTCAAACTTTTTAAACGGGGCCAGTTCACTGTCCCTCAGACCCGTTGGAGGGCTGGACTATAGTTTTAAAAAAACTATGAACAAATTCCTATGCACACTGCACATACCTTATTTTGAAGTAAAAAAACAAACGGGGCAAAACACCTGGCAGGCCGGATAAATGTCCTCGGCGGGGCCGTGTGTGGCCCGCGGGCCGTACTTTGAGGACCCCTGGATAGAACGCAACTCAAGGTGGGCCTCTGCACGAACACATGTTCCTCTTGTTCTGCGGATACACCCCCACTCCTGCCCACCCCTTGCCACTCAGAGCTCCGGTGACATCGTGGGCCCCAGAGTTGGGCCGCTAACCAAAAGTTTAGCCATTTGAAACTACCCACCGGTCTTCAGGAGAAAGAGGAGGCTTTCTACTCCCCTAAAGATGTACAGGCTTGGAAACCCACAGGGGCAGTTCTACCCTGTCCTCAAGGGTGGAGTTGGCATCAACTCCATGGCTGGAAGTTTGAGAACCCTTTCCGCCTAGCCTTCCATGCCCCAATACAGAATTCATGCCCTCCTCAGGGCCTGGCCCCTGCTGGTTCCTTCTACCCAGAAAGCTCTTTGCCTCATCTGCTCGGCTCTTCTCACCCAACAAGCTTTGGTTCAAAGGTCACATGGTGACCACCCAGCCTAGTCATTCCCGGACATCTGCACCTCCTTGGAAGTACGGTCTCAGACACCTCCGTCAACGCCATCCCGTGGAGTATGAGAGCTATCGGGGCCATCGAGAGAGTCCGTGCAAAATGTCTGTCCAAAATGCAGAGACTGATGTCGGAACCTAGCTTGACATGAACTCCATTTGTCTCAAACTGCCTTTAACCTCTGCTAGCGGTTAGCCAGCCCCCTTCTCCTCCCTCGGTCAGCTCTTCAGGCAAGACATTGACTCTTCTGAGGTTTCTTGCCCAATTAGCCAGCAACGTACACTATCTTGTAAGACCTTGAATTAGTACCTGCAGCTGTGCTGTTCCCCCAACCCCGTGACCCTGCCAACCTGATCAGAATTTAACTGCTAGAATATCGCTCCCCTGGAGCCAGGCCCCTGCGTTGGAACTAGAAAAACCCTGGAGGAAAAAAGCTTAAAAAAAAAAAATTTTTTTTTTAATTGTTTGTTTTTTTAAAGAAAAACCCTGAAATTTCTTTGTTCTGGGTCCAGAGGTTTCCAGGCACTAGCCAACTCTGGGTCTAGCTGTTTAATTAGCTTTAATTATTAACAGAGTGGTGTGGTTGATCTCGCCCATACAACGCTCCAAGGAGCAGAGCTGAGACAGGGTACTTTCTCCTTGTGTATCGGAGTAGAATGGCCTACTTCTTTTCCCCTGCAGAGTGCCACAAAGCTGGCCTATTTGACTCCACAACGGTTGTCACTTGCTGATCCTTGGTATGTTTCGCGTACCTTGCTGAGCCCCAAAAATCACTGCCTGGAATCCGTACCAACTCCTAGGGGTTGGGGAGACCTCTGCCTCTCTGAGACTTTCACCTCTTTATGGGATTAATAGACAAGGGTGACAGAGTAATTAATACACCAGGTGTCATGAGCAAGGTAAGTAAAACATACAAAGTATCAGGAACTGATACTTCGCGTCAAAAAGGCCCCTTCGTTGCGCTCACTGGAGACCTCAGTGTGAAGTGACATTTCCCCAAAGACCGGAAGGAGTTGCGGAAGGGAGGCCTGTGCCTGCCAGGGGGGAGAACATCCCAAGCCAAAGAACTGGCCAGTACAAAGATCCGGGGGCACAAATGTGTCTGGTGTGATGAAGACCCCCCAAAGGAGGCCCACGTGGCTGGACCAGTGAGCCAGGGCCAAAGGGAGCCTTTTGAATCTTTAAGGTGAAGTCTCTCGGGTCCTGGGGGGGGGGGGCTCTTCCAGTCCTGGGTAGGAGTTCGGTTTTTACTCTGAGATGGAAGGAAGAGGAGGAAAGGTGAGCAAGGGGCTGGTCCAACTGAAGGAAAAGGTGACGGGGAGGAAGGGAAGGGAGGGCACCAGGCAGGGCGAGCCTGCCCCACCCTTTCCATGGGTGCCAGCCTGCCCCTTGGCCTCCTCAGACCCGCCCTCTCAGCTCCAGGATCTGGAACATGTCGACTAGCCCTGCAGCGCCTGGAAGTGGCCGGGCTTCCCTTTTCGTTCTGAATCAGCATCGGCCTGGCGGCTCTGCCAGCTAGGGTCAGAGGCGAAACTCCACTCCACGTTCAGTCACGAAGCAGCCCGGGCACCAAGCACACGCACGGCCTGCCATCTCTTTTTTTTTTATGTAAACAAATATTCACCTTATATATTAATAAAATATTAATGATACAAAATATTTTAAAACAAAATTACAAATAATTCAATTATACTATATTGGCTTATTAAAAATAATATTTCTGAAATAAGGACAATTTCCTCAGTAAAGCATAAATCCCCAAAGGAATGAAATATTTTGACAAATTTGATTTTGTAAACTACTTCATGATAAAAAAATGTAATAAAACATTTAAAAATATGCTGAGAGAAAATACAATGCATATAATAATTGGTTAATATGGCCTGCCATCTCTGTAACACTCCACCGGCCCCTGAGATCATTACTCCATAAACAATTTCCCAGACTCAGTGTGATTTTGCTGCTTCCTTCAGATGCCGCGGCTCAGGGAAGCAAACACCACCACCACAACGTCCCCAAACAGTTCTCAGAGCAAACGCTTACTCAGGGCAAACTCAAATCTCCTGTCACCCAGAGGGGCTCCCTGTCCCTGAGTGGACTCAGACGGTTTAGGGCAGTGGTTCTCAACCTTCGAATGCTGAGCCGCCTATATACAGTTCCTCAGGTGGGTTGTGACCCCCAACCTTAAAGTAAATTTCTTTTTAAAATTTTAATCGTTTTATTAGGGCCTCGTACAACTCTTATCACAGTCCATACATACATCCATTGTGTAAAGCACATTTGTACATTCATTGCCCTCATCGTTCCATAAAATGATTTTCATTGCTACTTCAGAACTGTCATTTGGGGACTGTTCTGAATCGGGCGACCCCTGTGAAAGGGTTGTTTGACACCCCTCCCCAAGAGGGTCACAATCCACAGGTTGAGAACCGCTGGTTTAGAGTTTTCCGTCTATGGGAGCAGACAGCCTTGTCTCTCTCCCGCTGAGCAGCCGGGGCTGTGAGTGGCCAATCGCAGTTAGCAACCCAGCCCTGCGCCACATTGGTTACTTTGTCGTTTCTTACAAACCATCTTTAGGCTACTAGGTTGTCACCCGGGTCTTGTAACCATCCCCTAAATACCCACAAGGAATTGAAATTCCTTGTCTTCTCTTCTCCCAGCTGTCTCCACCTTGGATCATGAGGTTCAGAAACCTCGAGGGTTTGTGGTTCCACTCTGCCCCCCTCCCCTACCTTGTCTCTCCATTTTTTGTTGTGTCTCTCTGTCGTTTGATTCCTACCGCAGCTATATTTATGAGAACATGGTCAAGCTTTATAACCTTTTCCTGAAATAGGACGCAACCATGGTAGAAATCAACCCAGTGGTAGAAGATTCAGATGGAGCTGTGCCGTGTATGGATCCAAAGATTAATTTTGATAGTAGCCAGCCTTTCGCCAGAAGAACACCTTTCACCGACAGCACTGGCCCCAGGAAGATGGAAGGACAAAGCTGGGAAGAGAGTCCTACATATGGTAGGTGGTTCTGGCATGTTCTAGCATTTTTTTTTAAATGAGTTTCTTATTTTTTGATCTTTATTTTTCATTTCAAATCAGACTCATCATTTTGCTCTGTGATTATTTTAACACAGATGGATTTTAATTTTAACAAAAGCAAAACTTTCCCCTGTCCAAGTCACCATAAAAGGGTTGGGTTTTTTTTTTGGGGGGGGGCGGCGTTATATTACTCTCTTACTTGGGTCACACGAGCATGAGACAGACATCAGCTGTTTACAGTGACCAGCCAGAGAGCACCCCGCTGTGCCACGGACAGCACTGTGTCCCCAGAGACGGATGTTCGAATCCTGTCGCCTGCGCTTGTGAAACAGGACCTTGCTTGGAAAGAACGTTTTTCCCAGGTTGCCAGTTCAGTTCAATGGCTCTGTCAAAAAAAGGTGAGACGCAGAAACAATGAGAGAGCCTAAGACACGAATATTCAGGCCGCAGATAGAGCCTTTTCTGCTCAGAAACACAGGAAGGCTCATTTTAAATCAGTCACAGTGTGTTCTTCAGGGTCCCACTGCCATCCAGTCAATTCTGACTTAGTGACCCTGTCGGACAGAGAAGAGCTGCCTCTTGTGGGTTTCCAAGGCGGCAAATCTTGACAGTAGAAAGCTTCATCATTCTCTTGAGGAAAGGCTGGTGGGTTTGAACTACCAACCTTGTGGTTTCTCCCTAGGATAGAAAAGAGACCCCAAACTCAAAATTAACGTGTAAGGATGAGCTTATTAAGTCTGAAACGGGACAAGACAAACAGCTGTCGTCTGGAGTCCAGGAGTCACAGAAATCTCTCGCAGCTCTCAAGTTGAGTCCGATACAGAGTGATCCTGGGACAGAGTAGAATTGCCCTCGTGGGTTTCTGAGACGATAACCTCGTTTACAGGAGTAGAGAGCTCCATCTTTCTCCCAAGGAGCGACTGGGGGTTTTGAACCGCCGACCTTGTCATGAGCAGCCCAGTCCATAACTCTGCCTCTGTCGGATTCACCAGGGCCCCTTATTCATAGCAATGGAAACACTTCGAGTGGATGGGAAGAACAGAGGAGGCTGCCACCAGATCACGAGTGGCCCAAGGTGACTGAGCACCGCACAGCCCTCTGAAGACCCCAGTACAGAGACCAACAAAGTCCAGCCAAGCGCCCTGCCACAGAGTCGATGCCAACGCAGAGTGACCCTGTAGGACAGGGCAGGACTGCCCCTCGGAGTTCCTGAGACCAATTGTTCATGGGAGTAGCAAGCCCTGTCTTTCACCCACATAGTGGCTGGTGGCCTTCGATTGTGGACCTTGCGGATCCCGGCCCAACAGGCTCCTAATCCAGAGGCAGGGAGAAGCTTTCCCTGGAGCCCGATGGGCGAACGAGCGAGGGAGCACGGAGCCAGGCTAGTACCTCGGATGACACCGTCTGGTCCCTAGACCCGTGAAAAAATAAAAGTCTGTTCTCTGCAGCTCCCCAACGTTAACATGTTAGGACTGCCCTAGGAAGCCAGGACCCACCTCCACCGATTCGGTATTTACGATCTTTTTAGTTTTTATTTTGTTGTACGTTTCAGTGTTTAAAACGTCACGTTACATAAATAATGCACGTAAACCAAAGAAAGTACAATGAAAAACCATAATAAATGGCCAGAGACCCTCCGCCCAACATAGCAGATGAGACAGGCAGCCCCTCGGGGCCCCATCTGTACCTGCCCCCATCCTCCACCCCTCCAGGCCGGCAGCCGGAGTGACTCGGAGGTGCCCCGGTCAGATTCCCAAACCAGGCAGAAAAAGCCAGGCTGATCATCAGATCTAGCTGTTACCTGGGAATTTACAAACAGATTGATGGCAAGGGTCTCAGGTTTGAGACCCATTCCCTGACAGTACAAAACAGGGTGTTAGATAGCTCAATGCAGGGGATCCCCAAACAACGCCATGTCTGAGCTATGATGCACGGAGCTGCTCTGGAAGTAGTCTGGGTTTCCACGGAAGGTTACACTGAAGCCAGGCGTTTGTTGTGATGCTCCCTGGCCTGGGCTACTGCTCCTGACCCTCTGTGCTAGAGGAGGAAACATTGTTGCCTGGGCCGGGGATCTCCTCACACTTGGGTGTTGCAGCTCCTTCCGTAGCCAGGTGCCGACCACTCTGTTGCTCTTTTTCACTGAACCTCAACTATGGGAGATCTGGGGAGGGAGTGGGCTACGAGTTGGGCTAGGTCCTTCGTTCAAAATCCCAGCTGTAGGGGAAAGCTGAGGCTTTCTGCTCCCCTAAAGATGTGGGGAGTCCTCAGAAGCCCACAGGGCCAGTTCGACTCTGCCCCATAGGCTCACCTGAGTTGGAATCGACTCCGTGGCGATGGGGTGTTTTTTTGTTTTTGTTGTTGTCTCCTAAGACGATGTGCTTCAGGGATGGGTCCTTCCCCCAACAGGCCCCAAGGGAGCGAGACACAGCCTCGCCATCCTCATCCTCGCTTCCGAGAAGCACTCTGGCTGGACCTTCTTTCCAAACAAGCTTGTTTGTTCTTTTGGCAGTTCCTGGCATAGTCAAGATTCGTCCCAAGCACCCTGTGTCAAACAAAGGCTCTGGTCTTTTGGGTGCTGTGCCTCCACTGTCCACTGTCTGCCTGCATAGGAGAGGATTGAAAACACCCGCCAGGGGCCCCGCGGGTTGACAGCCTTGGAGACGCCCAGGGACTGCTCCGTTCCGTCTTGTGGATCGGCTGGGAGTTGAAATCGGCTCAAGGGCAGGTTTGTTGTTGTTTGTTTCTTTGTTGCTGTTTGCGAGGAGGTCAGGTCTTCTGGGAAGCGCCGTCTTCGTCTGTATTCTGCGTTTTAACACTTCATAAAGGATCGTTTCAGCAGGTTTTCCCAGTGAAGTATGTCGTGTGAGTGCTTGGTGGCTGCTGTTTCCGTGGTCGTTGGTTAAGGATCCAAGTAAAACGCTATGTTTGACAACCTCAGCCTTTCCTGTTTGTGTTAGTTATTGACCCAGTTCTGAGGGGTTTTGTTTGATTTATAACCCCCCCCAAAAATCAATGGTCCCCCAATCCTTTCTTGGTCATTCGTTGACATTTTTGAGTTGTTGATTACAGGTGTCCGATTTTAGGATACAAAAGAGAGTCCAGTCTCAACTGTCATCTAAGAAGAACAGTGATGGAGCCCTCAAGAGGACAAAGACATATGACCCCGTTGAGGAGGCCCATTAGCAAGAAGACATACTACTGGCGTCCCAAGGTTGGTTAGCTGCGTAGTTGCTTCAATAAGACATGGGACACAAAGGAATCTGTCATAAACTCCTGATTGGTGGCAGATCCGTGCATCACAGTTCCAGGTGGCTCTACAGGAGTGGGAAAGGGACCAAGACGGTGACACGGGCATTGCATTAGACAGAAGAGTGTACCAGATTGGTCTCTGGCCTTCCACCCGAGGCAGTCAGGGGATGGCTGATAGAGCATGGCTGATAAGCCGTGACTCGTGCCTGTGTGACCTGGGGCACTGCAGTCTCCATCAGGGACACACCCAGGCAAGCCCCTAAGGGGGACTGCCCCTCCCTGGGCTGGCTGGAGATCCACTTCCCAAGGCATTCAGCTGGAGAGCCAGTTTGTTGCCCTCGTTAAAGGTCAGAAGGAATTCAAGGGAGGCTTAATCCACTGATGGAGGGCTCCGTTTAAACTCTGAAACCATCCCCCGCTGGGATTGGGCAAGATCATTCTCCGCCTGCTTCTTTTAGCAAGCAAGGTGGTTGTGTCAGCGGCATGCTGCCGCTTGTTGATAACCCTGCCTCCAATCCCGGTGCCGAGTTCTCTGTAGCGCCCAGCTTCTCTGGGGATTTGCTCAGCGTGTGCATTCAGTATGGTGAGAGGATGCCGCCCTGACACACACCCTTTTAAGCCACGCAGTGTTCTCATGTTCTGTTTGCCCAACCATCTCTTGACCCTTGAACAGGTTCGGCAGGAGAACAACGCAGAGTTCTGGAATTCCCATTCTTCTCCATGCGATCCATAGTCTATGAGCCGCACCGTTGAACGCCTTTGTATACTTAGCCTGCTTCTCAGATTCGCCCTGTGGATCACGAGCTGGTTCTTCCTTACGTGCTTGGGAAAGGAGCGTGGGAGCAAAAAGAGGAAGGCCCGCCACCAGATGGATGGACACAGTGGCAGCATCCGTGGACGCAAACTGAAGAACAGTGGCGAGGACGGCGCAGGACGTGGCGGCCACTGAGTCTGAACTGATTGAACGGCACCGACCGAGGACAACACGGATGCAGCACGTTTTGTTCACCCGGATGAAGGCCAGCTTGGTGATGAGGACTAATGCTTCGGTGGCCATTGTCACCGTCGAAGCACTCTCCGTGACACTGCATACGGTGGCCAAATCTGCGATTCCATTCTTGGAAACATTTTTCAGACTCGTTTGCATGGCTGACAGCACCTCCCTGGATTTTTCCTTTACCACTTCTACATTGTCAAACCGCTGTCCTTTCACGTCGTCCTTCATTCGAGGAAACAAAAAGAACTCACACACACACACACACACACACACACACAGGTCACATGGAGTCACGTGAGTAAGCTGCAGTGGGAACAGAGAGCATGCTGGTTTTTGCCAAAAAGTGGCGGCCGTGAGCAGGTGCATTGTCGTGGTGGCAAAACCAGTCCCCCACCTGCCACAAATCAGGCCTTTTTTTGGTTGCACACCTCTAAAGAGAAAGCTTGATTAACAGTCTGACCTGGTGGAACGAACTCCAAATGCACCTCAAGTTGACATTTGCATCCGTTCAGGAAGTTGACAGACATCCAGAACGAGATTTGTCATCAGTTGACATTTCACCTTTTTTTTTTTTTATAATTATTGTATTGGGGGAATTTCACCTTTTTTGAAATGAGAAAAAAACAAGGTTCGAGAAACTGCTTTTACAAAAAAATTCAACTGTGATCAGCGAGAACCTTCCGGAGCAACGCCATTGGGTGCACAAACTCAGAGCAAATTGCTTCCTGCTCGCCTAGCGGGGAAAAATGAAAGTTCCACCCGAGAGAGTTTTCCCACCCTTTTTAGGTGGCGGGGGGGTACCCCCCATATGTTACTCTTGGGGGTGCATACTTAGTAGTTAGTGGAATAGATGAGTCACATGGGAAGCTTATTTGAGGAACTGCCAAACTTTTTCTAAAGCAGCCACACCATTTTGCATTCCCAGCGGCAGGGCGTGAGAATTCTTTCTCTCCACCCCCTTAACCACACTGGCGACCTTTCTTTTTGATGAGAGCGAGACCAGTATGTGTGAAGAGGTATCGCACTGTGGGTTGGATTTGCACTTCCTTAATTACTAATAATGACGAGCGTGGTGTTTTTCTGCTTATTGTCCCTGTGCATACTCATTTTGGGGAGAGAGCTATTTAAATTCATCGCAGACTCTGAACGGAGTTATTTTCCAAGCTGTTGAGTCGTGAAAGTTCCTTATGCCTACTGGACACAGGCCCCTTATCAGAAGGGTGTTGGTTTTTTTTCAGAGGTGTGTTTTGCAAATGCTTGCAAATGACATTCTGCGAGAAAGAAATCTCATTTTCTTCATGATGTCCTCTGAAGCACAAACATTTTCAGTTTTGATAAGGTCCAACTTGTGTGTGTGTATATACACACACACACACACACATATATATTTATTTGTATTCTAGGTGTCCTACCTAAGAAACTTTTGGATAATTCAAAGTCACAGAGATACACTCCCTTCTCATTTTCTTTGAATATTTTTAGCTCTTAGATGCAAGTGTCTGATCCATCTGAGTCAAGTTATATATAGGGTATGAGGTAGGGATCCAGTTTCCTTCTTTTGCATGTGTATAGTCTGTCATTCCACCACTTTTGGTTGAAAAGACTGGTTTTTCTCACACTGATGGTTGTATCACCATCATCAATGATTCAAGACACAAGCCTCATTGCTATCAAGTCAGTGCCAACCCCTGGGGACCCCCTTGGGTTTCCGAGACTTGAACTGTTTACCGGAGCAGAAAGCCCTGTCTGTCTCCCAAGGAGCAGCTGGTGGTTTCAAACTCCCAACCAGTCAGATCACAGCCCAACACATAACCGCTACACCACCAGGGTAACTGGCCAGTAATGGTTTGCAACCAAGAAGGGTGATTCTTTCCACCTGACTTTTTTTTTTAAGATCAGATTGATTATTCTAGGTGTCTTAAGTTTCCTCGTTCATTTTAGAATCAGCTTTGCAAGTTCTGAAAAAAAAAAAAAAAAGACGGGGTTTTGATAAGGATTTCATGAAGCCTGTCGGTCTCTGTGGGGAGTGGTGCTGGCATGGCTCTCCAGTGTGTCAGATCACAAAAGTCACCAGGGGGGTTAGCAAACGGATTCACGTGCCCCTGTTCAGGCGGCTGGCAGTCCAAATGCAGAGAACTGGTTCTGCGGGAAGCCTCTGATGGGCGGTCCTTGTCACTTGGCTTTCTGCTCCTTGGCATCTGTCTCTCTTTGTCCACCTCGGCTTCTTCCCCGGCTTGTTCCATTTCTCTTGTGGCTCCAGAGAGATGGTCTCCCGACAACCCCTCCCAAATGGTTCTAGAGCCGTGAGCACCGAGGACAGGGTGAACAGCATGTCCCAGGATGCCCGTCTATGGGATGTCTTCCTGTTTCTATGTTCTTCGATGTCAGAAGGTCTTTTTGTTGGGGTTTTGTTTCAGTATACAAGCCTTTCGTTTCTTCTGTTACATTAATTCCTAAGCACTTCTGTTTTCATAATATCGAAGACCAGTGGGGAACGCACTGCAGAAGCAGATACCTCGCTTTATCCTGGATGATGAGCTATGGTACAAAAGCGTTTCCTTGCCCGGGGCGGAGGTGGGGTGGGCGTGTAGTAAGTAATTTTTGTTTTCTAACAAGGGGGCGGTAGGCCCCATAAGTTTGAGACTCTGTTGTAGATGAACCACGCAATCGGCCACTCTGCCTTAACTCAGATGGCCTGCGCTCTCTCACAAAGCCTCCGAGTTGGACAGAGCTAGCATGGTGTTTCTTGGGCATACGCAGAGCCCTCCATGCGGCTCTCTCAGGGTCCAGGGATGTCAGAGCTTTACAAGACCCAGATGGACAAATTGTTTCACGGTTTTCCCTTCTAAGTTCCACGGTCAGCTTCTTGCTCAACCCAACTGGTGATGCTACCTCAAGAAACTGACCCCCAAGCCAACTCGCTGGTGCCCATGCATATTGGCCCGATGGGGCAGTGTAGAGCTGCCCGCGGTGCGGTTTCGAGATGAAGTAGAAAGCCCTGTTTTTCTCCCAACGAGAGGCAAGGGGTTTTGAACTTTCAGACTTCGAGGTTAGCAGCCCAACATGTGACCACTAGGATAACAGGGCTCCTTAGTGTTAAGCAGTTGCGGCTGCTGCCGATTACATTTATATAATTACACACTGTCATTTTATTTTCACCGTAGTCACCATGGGTGTGCCTAGTAGGTGTCGGATTTTGTCCCTACAAAGGTGACCATGTTCTCCCGGCCAAAGCTGGATTGATTCTGCAGTTACTGGCCACACTTAGCATTATTACACGCAGTAGAGTCCACCTTGGGCTTGCTGTCTTTGGCTTCCTAGTTCGGGTTCCTCTTCTCCCTCCCTTACCAAAACACAAGGAAGCACTTCTTCGTCGTCACATAGATTGATCCGTTTGAGTGGAATTTCTGCTTGCAGTCTCTCGACGGTTTCCTCTCTTCTCCCTCCCTTAGCTCAGCACCTACTCACTCTTAATGGACTCCAGGCTGACAAGAGTCCTTCTGCTCTCCTCTCGTGCACTTGTGTTTGCAGATGGGCGGGGCTCATGGTTGACCCGTCCATAGCTCTGCTGGCCTCCCGGTGGTTATTTTTTGAAAGAAGAATCCTGTTTCAGGGGCTGCCAGGAAAGCACGCCTGCCTTAGAAGTACGGCCAGGGCGCTCCTTCAAAGCAAGGACGGCAAGGCTTCAGCTCAAGGACGTTGGACAAGTTAGCGGGAGAGACCAGTCCCTGGAGAAGGACATCATGCTTGCTACAGCAGATGGCCAGCAAAACAGTGGAAGGCTCTTGGCGAGCCGGCCACGGTGACTACCACAAGACACCCCAACATAGCAGTGACCGGGAAGACGGTGCAAGACTGGACTGGGTTGTGTTGTGTTGTGGTTAGTGTTCACTTCGGTCGAGGTTTTGATGGGAGACCGGCTTGTCAGAGCGCCTTTGTCTGCCAAGGGAGACGTGGGCTGGGGCACCTGAGAACAACAACATTTTTAGCAAATGACAGAGCGAGCTCTGCTCCAGGAAGACCAGCCCCAAGTGCGTCCTATGCAGGGGGCTGTCAGCAGTTTGAACCCACCAGCAGCTCCTCGGGAGAAAGAGGCTGCCTGCTCCCATGAAGCCTTGCAGTCTCAGAAACCCCCAGGGGCAGTTCCACTCCGTCCTCCTGGGCCACCCACAGTCGGGCTTGACTCGCGGGCAGTGCATTTGGTTTCCTTCTTGCCAGGCAGGTTCTGGAGAAGGCATCAGAGCTGGGGAGCGGAGAGGAGCCCTGGGGTCTTCAGGGGTACATGTTGGGCTGCAGTCCACAGTCAGCGGTCTCAGGGAGGGAGCGGAGCTTCCTTTCCCCATACAGTCTCAGGAACCTGCAGGGACAGTTCACCCCTGGCCTCTAGGGGCCGCTCGCTGTGAGTTGTCATGAAGGTTTGGTTTTGTTGGTGGGGGGGCGAGGAGGACAGGCGTTTGTTTTGTTTGGGGGTGGAGGAGGACGGGCACCCAAGGGAGAATGTCACAAGGCTTGTTCTACTCTCTGAGCTTCAGCCCTCATGGCTGACTAAACTCCTTCCACGGTGGCAGGCCTGCCTTTTGTGTCCGTAATTCTGGAAGTGGTTAGTGTTCACTTCGGTTGAGGTTTTGATAGGAGACCGGCTTGTCAGAGCTCCTTTGTCTGCCGAGGGAGAAGTGTGTGAGCCTCCCTCCCAGATGCTAACGTGTGTGATAGCGTGCTCTTCACAAACAGTCCCTGAACACTGCCTGGTGCAGGGAGTGTCGCGTGGTGGGCCGGAGGTGTGGCTGTGGGAGCCTGATTCTCAATGTGCCCCCTGTGTCTCAGTGGACAAGTCACTTCCCTTCTCTGAGGCTCAGGTCCTGCTTCTGAGAGACAGGGCTAATAAACGGACTGCTTTTGGAAGGCTGGGTGTTAGGTTGGGTTGTCTAGAGAAACAAATCAGTGACACTCACAGCCTTAGGAAAAAGAACTTTGGGCCAAGAAGTAATTTTAAAATATAAAATTTTTAAAAGAGGAGCTGATCCCGAGGGCTCAATAGAAAGTAAACGTCTAGAGAAGAAGGGTGGCCATGTATGTACAAATATGTCTGATGTATTTTTTTATGTATGTATTGTAACAAGTTGTAAGAGCCCCCAATCAAATGATCTTTTAATAAAAAAAATTTATTTAAAGAAGAAGTCATTTTATACCAAGCAGCCAACCCAGGTCAACCCAAGTCATCGGCTCCGTGCTCGGTGGGGCCCTTTGTAGACTCACACAGCTGCAGGTGATGGTGCAGAAAGGTGAAGCAGGGAGCAGGGAGGTCGCAGGCTGGTGGGTGCAGAGTCACGTGGATCCGAGGTTGGTGAAAGCAGGGCAGGAAGCTGACAGCTCTCCACGAGTCGGG